GTTTGGAGACCGGAGTCTCGCTCTGGTCGCCCAGGCCTGGAGTGCAGTGGCGCGATCCTGGCTCACTGCAAGCTCCGCCTCCGTTTTTTTTTTTTGTTGTTTCACGCGGCGCGCTCTTCTCTGTTGGCCTCTAGTCTCTCCCCTAGCAGGCTGTGTTGTTTATCTATCTAGTGTGCTGTCTCTGTTCTCACCTAGTTCGCGGTAACGCCTGGCTAATTTTTGGTATGTTGTTATAGGGAGACGGGGTTTTCAACCGTGTTAGCCCAGGATGGGTCCTCTCATCTCCTGAGCCTCGCGTGATCTGCCGTGCCTCAGCCTCCCAAAGTGTTGAGATTGGACAGGCGCCTGCAGCCACCAGTCCAGCGATGTGTTCCAGGTTTTTTTAACCTTGTTTTTTCTTCCATGTTGACTTAAAAGATGATCATTAACGTCAACCTTTACTTCTTTGTTTTTAAAACAAAATCCAATGTTGAATTCCAACTAGATCACTTAGGTGGAAAACACAAAGAATAAAAGGGGCACATGACCGGGTACAAAAATCTTAGACAAGCGAGGAGATATATATTCTTTTTCTGATATTATTGTCACAGCATGGTGAATTACCATCAAAAATAAGAGGTATTGTATATTCCAACAGTTGCTAATGAGTGAAATTTAGATGGTTCTCACTACAAAAATTGTTAGAGTATTCTGAGGTGTCTTTTCATTTCATCCCAGGCAGTTCCTCTTATCAGGAATTCTGAGGATTCATTCAAAAGTTGGGACACCGCTGGGCTCAAACTCTTTTTTTTTTTTTGAGACCTGAGTTCGCTCTGTTGCCCAAGGCTGATGTGCCATGGCGCTATTCGCTCATCGCTTGAGGCCAGGAGAACAAGAACAGCCTTGGCAACATGGCAAGACACTGCCTCTACAAAAAACAGAATAAAAATTACCTGGGCATAGTGATGTACACCTGTAGGCCCAGCCACTCAGGAGGCTGAGGAGAGGATTGCTTGAGCCCAGAAGGTTGAGGCTGCCGTGAGCCATGATGATGCCATGGCACTCCTGTCTGGGTGACAGTTAGGACCCTGTCTCTAAATAAAAATAAAAAATGACCCTCCATGATAGTCTGTATTTATAGGAAAGCTACTGACTTTTTGTTAATTTTGTGTACAGTTAACTTGGTGAATTCTTTCTTCAGTCATAGCTTTTCATTTGCTCCTCTTAGATGACCTAGGTATGCAATCATCCAATCTGCAAATAATTTCACCTTTTCCTTTCCACTTTTACAGTATTTTTGTCTAAGTGCCATTTCTTTCTCTTTTTTTTTTTTTTTTGAGACAAGAGAGTCTCGCTCTGCCGCCCAGGCCCTGGAGTGCAGTGGGCGGATCTTGGCTCACTTGCAAGCTCCGCCTCCCCGGGTTCACCGCCATTCTCCTGCCTCAGCCTCCCAAGTAGCTGGGACTACAGACGCCCGCCACCTATCGCCCCGGCTTAGTTTTTTTTTTTGTATTTTTTAGTAGAGACGGGGTTTCACCGTGTCAGCCAGGATGGTCTCGATCTCCTGACCCTCGTGGATCCACCCGTCTCGGCCTCCAAGTGCTGGGATTACAGGCTTGAGTCACCGCGCCGGCCTCCATTTCTTTTTAATTATTTCCCTCTACACTACTTTGTTTCACCACCCTGACCTTTACAATAAAACATTAAATACTGCTAAATAAAAGAATAGATATAAATAGATTTTCCTTTCTTTTATAAAACAGAAATAGGCAGGCGGGCGCAAATAGCGTCACGCCCTGTAATCCCAGCACTTTGGGAGGCCGAGGCAGGCAGATCACCTGAGGTTAGGAGTTCAAGAACCAGCCTGGCCAACATTGTGAAACCCCATCTCTACAAAAAAATACAAATATTAGCCAGGCATGACGGCAGGTGCCTCTAAACCCTGCTACTGGGAGAACTGAGGTTGGAGAATTGCTTGAACCCAGGAGGCGGAGGGTGCAGTGAGCTGAGATTGCACCATTGCACTCCAGCTTGGCAACAGAGCGAGACTCCACCTCAATTAAAAAAAAAAAACACGCGGGCGTGGTGGCTCAAGCCTGTAATCCTAGCAACTTTGGGAGGCCGAGGCGGGTGGATCACGAGGTCAGGAGATCGAGACCATCCTGGCTAACTCGGTGAAACCCCATCTCTACTAAAAAATACAAAAAATATAGCCGGGCGATGGGTGGCGGCGCCTGTGGTCCCAGCTACTCGGGAGCTGAGGCAGGAGAATGGCGTAAACCAAGGAGGCGGGAGCTTGCAGTGAGCTGAGATCCAGCCCACTGCACTCCAGCCTGGGC